CTTCGAAACCAATAAGGACGACGGACCGCAAACCTCGATCGGCAACCGTAGACCGGCGACACCCGACCCTCGAGCGCTCATCATCCTCCACTGGCGCAAGCTGAGAGGGGTCGTGCGAAATTAAGGCATAGGTAGTGCTATGGGCCATCCGCCGGCAAAGGCCCAGCTGCCTACCGGAGAAGACGCAGGCGAAAATTTAGCAGCGACGGGAGGAAGGGTTTTTGGTGATTTGGGGAGTTTTTCGTGGAGAGAGAAAACGGGAAAAATGAATGTTCTTGGTTTGATATAGTTAATTTAGAAAAGTGTGGTATTGTTAGTTATTAGTTAGTATATTAAAATAATATTTAGAAGAAAATAATTAATATCGATTTGATGTAAAAGTCGGAGAGAGATGTGAAGTGATATTAGTAAAAATTATATGAATTGGTGAATAGTGAACTAAAGTTGACGTGTTGTGTAAGAATGATTAAGTATTGATAATATATATTGATGATAGTGGTGCTGGATTAAACTTTGTTAAAAAAAATGATTGAGTTAAAAATATTTAGATTTTTTTGAGAAATTTTGTATCCAACTATCCAAAAGCAAAGCAGAAAAATAATATTTAGCCAACCTAGTAAACAACTAGGCTGACAACACAAGTAGAAACATTCACTTGCTTATTTATTTTTTATTTTTTTATGAATGTTTTTAGTAAGACTTTTAGAACTTGTTTATGGACCAAGATTTATCACTCCTTTTAAGCACTTGTCAAATCACCTACTACATGTAACCATAGAGGGCCCTTCTTGTAATTCTTTACCAAACAAAATATGAACTGCCAAGTTATGCACATGAAAAAAAATAATAATAATAACCAAATTTTAATAAATTAGAATAGGAGGTTAAGCTAATATATTGGTGCTAAATGGGACCCAAAAAATGTGGGGGAAAATGATCTCAAACTTTACAAGATCCCAAAGGAGAAAAAAAAAAAAACACTTTGATCATTCAACAGTAAACTACCTGGCATTGGCAACCCCATCAATTCATCATCATCCCATTGCTTTTCTTGTTTTAACACTTTTGATTTTCCTCTGTCCACCAATCTCTACTTTTCCTTTTTTGTTTTCTACTTCTTTTAGTTCACTTTCCTTCTAAAAAAATATATACTAACAAAACCGTATAATCATTGCATAAACCTTATCTTTGACTGGTGTCCCTTTTCTTTCTTTTTTTTTTTTCAGTGCTATAGTGCAAAAATAACCCCTGTACAGTATAACATACGACATGCATCAAATTAATAGTTCAAAGAGAAAAAATTGGAGTAGAGAGAATCTATACTTATATTAAAGGCCATACCATTTACTTAAATTAGTATGTAGAAAAGTCAAAGCAATTAATGCTATTCTATTTTTGTCATTTGAATATTATATCTTATATTTATTTATTTCAAATCTAATCATTACTTAATGCTTTTAAATGCAGTTGAAACTTTTTTGGTGTTTGATTTTTAAATCCGTGCATTTGGGAATCTTCCTAACTATTTTCATAAAAAAATAGAAATCAGATTTCTTTGTTGTTAAAAAAAAATCTCAAAAAAATATAAATCTAATTTCTTAATTAGTTAATTTTTAAATCCGTGCATTTGGGAATCTTCCAAACTATTTTCATAAAAAAAATATAAATCAAATTTCTTTGTTGTTAAAAACAAATCTCAAAAAAATATAAATCTAATTTCTTAATTTATACTTATATTAAAAGCTATACTATTTACTAAATGTAATATGTAGAATAGTCAACCCTAATTAATGATTTGCTATTTTTATCAAACATTTAATTAATTTATCTAATATTTTTGGTATGCAAATCAAATTAGTATTTAATTAGCTCCTAAAATATTGGGTATGCAATATTAATTTAGGAATGGATCGATCTAATTAATGATTTGCTACTTTTATCAAGCATTTAATTAATGTATCTAATATTTTTGGTATGCAAATCAAATTAGTATTTAATTAGTTCCTAAAATATTGGGTATGCAATATTAATTTAGAAATATAATAAGTTCCTAAAATGTTGGTATGCAATACGTAAAAGAAGATTTTTTAATTTTTTTAAATATAAAATATTGCAACACGTAAAACTATTACAATTATTTTTTGTTTTATTTTACATATAAAATCTAATCAATATTTAATGCATCCTACAAAATTGGATGGAAATAAAAAAGTACGTAAAATCTTTACTAAAATAAAAAAAGACTTTATTTATTATATAATTTATTATCTAATTGTATGGAAATCTGTTTTGATTTTATGGTACGTACTACAAATTGTGCACCCGTGTTCAGGAGCTACTTAACGAGCAAGCTTTGTGAAAATAACTCATTTAGCGCTTTTGTCTCGTGCGTACCGTATGTATTTGTATTACACATACTATAAAGTTGTGCACTCCGTGCATCGCACGGACTCTATACTCATAAATGGCCTAAAATTGTGCACCCCGTGCATCACCCGTGTTCACATTTTGGCCTATTACAAGCCACGTACTATATATCCCGTAAATTTTCTTTATTCATTTATATAATTATAAGACTTGATAAATGACTTTTGTGCACCCCGTGCATCGCACGGGATCTGTACTAGTTAAAAATTACAAGCCAAGTACAATACTTTTAATGCACT